GACTTGTCACATACAGCTGCTGTGAATGGGAAGTCATTGATCCCCCACTCCCTCCCCAGTAAATGTGGATTTTGTAGTGGCATCTTGCAGAAATTTCTCGTTGCCCTGGCCTTGACACTTTCCTAGAGCACTGGGAAAAAAATGCAAGATGACTGCTGGTAGTTTACACCTGGCCCAGGTTGATGTGTACCAGCTGGGAGGAGTCAGGCCCGGTCTGTGTGTGCCTGTGTGTTACCGCACACACACTGGGGGTGAGTGAGTCCAGCATGGTCACCCCTAGGGCCATTGCTCCAGACTCCTGTGCCCAGGGTTCCCAGGTGTGGCACATGCTGCTTGGGATGCACGCTGTGAAAGCATTACAGAGGGACTGAGCCCACAGCCAGTTTGCATAGACAAGGGCTGGCTTTTGTGAGGGTCACAAGCACCAGCTCAGTAACTTTAGTGCCTTGCTGGAGGCACTCCAAAAGCCACACAGCTGCCCACCGACCTCACTGTCCCTGTCTGAGTGCCTCAGCATCTGCCTTTGGTGAGTGCTGAGCACCTCACGTGTGGCCCAATGGCCTTAGCCACATCCGTGCCCATCTGCCCAAGGAAGCTGGCCTGGCCACACGTGCAGAGGTACCTGGGGTGGTGCAGGCTGATGCAGGTGGGGGTGTGGGTTTGCAGCACCCCAAGGAGCCCTGGGCACACCTGCCCTGCAGCTGGGATGCTGTGGGGAGGGCAGACAGGCAGGCACTGCGAGGGATCCTTCATGGAGTGTGTCTTTGGGCAGCGGTGATCGCCCTGTTCTGCAGACAGTATGATATCATCAAGGATAATGACTCCAACAACAACAAGGAGAAGACAAAGCCCTCCTCAGAGCACAGCACGCCAGAGCGGCCGAGTGGGGGGCTGCTGCGGAGCAAGGTGAGTGGGGAGGGCTGCCAGCAGGGGTGGCACGGGGCTGCCTGTCTGCTGGGGCTTGCAGCCTGCACAGAGTCTGCCTCTCTCCAGGAATGGAAACGCCCCAGCTTGTGCTCTCACCCCAAAGACTGAGGACTTTTAGGGTTCAGTGAGCCCTGGTCTCTGGGGCAGTGTGTGTACCCCATGGGTGATTGCAGGAGAAACACTGGAAGAGACAACAAGGTGTAACAGCTGGGATGGCTCTTGCACTGCAGGGTGGTACCTGACCTCTGACTGTAACAGAGCCTTCATCATGCCCCTCCAAGACTGCACCTCTCCTGCACACACGGACAAATGGACACGCTAGGCAGCTGTTCTCATGGTTCCTGCACTGGTCTGTCACTGCTCCCTTTCTGCCTTCACTGCAGCTGGCTCTGAGTCATCAGCACACAAGTCATTGCAGAGCCCCTTCCTCACGCTGATGAAGTGCTGTGCCAGGCTGTGGATGGGGAGGGAGCAGTACCTTCATCTGGCTGTTCCCTCAGCATCTGACATTTCTCCCTTTGTTACCTGCCAAAGACAGTGATTTATAGCCCAAATGCTCTAATGGGACCATATGTTAGGGTTTTGTTTGTGTTTCATCTGCTGCCTCTGTCAAGGGTGAGAACTCCCCTCACTGTGTTGACTGACTGCCCCACTGAATCCACATCTTGGTTTCCAGCAGATGTCAGGAGCAGAAACTTCCTATTTGGACTTCAAATCCCCAGTTCCCCTCCTCCAGATTTTTCAGCTTGCTGATTACCCTTTGCTAGGAGATCTCTCCTCTTGGATCCCTACTCCAAAGTGACCCTGCTCTGTTGAGGTCTGCTGGTCTTGATGCCTGCTGCAGGCTGAGGGGCTCTGACATAGGGTGTGATCCCAGGGGTGCAGCAAAGCAGGTTCTTAAAGTCTTAAAGCAGATTTTTCTCTCATAGAAGAAATCTCCCTCGGTCAATATCATTGAGGTGTAAGTGCAACACCAGCTCTGCAGTCTGGGATCTCGGGTGTCCTGCCAGAGCCACAGCAGGCCTTGGAAGAAGAGGCAGCACCAGGCACGCCGCCTGGAACTCAGCATGCGACGATCCACGTACCAGAACTCCCGCTTTCCTGAGGGCACCTGTCTGCGGATGTGCATGGAGCCGGCTCCCAGCCATGCATGCAGAGCGTGGCCCTGCCCGTCCTACCCGGCCCTCCTCCCCTCCGGGGGAAGCATGACCGTGAGGATGGGTGGGAGGGAGCCAGGGGGAGCCGATGGGCTGAGGCACGGGCCTGAGGGGAGCCCATGGCTCTGTGCACCGCCTCGGCCTAGGCCCGGGCTGCAGCTGAGGCACTGCATGGCTGCCCGGCACAGGGGCAGACCTTGCTCTCAGCTGCCCGTTTGGCCTTGGGGCTGCTGTAGAGAGCAGGAGCTGCTCCCCTCAGGGCCCCGGGGCTGCAGAAGCAGGGCGGTGCAGGCACTGCCCAGCACTGCTGGGAGAGCTGCGGCCTGTAGGAGGGCTTGGTTTGTCTGTGGGGCCGGGCCCAGCCAGCTCCGGGGATGAGTGGATTGCTGCTGGAGAACAGGGCTCCGCTGTACCCTGTCACGGCTGTGCAGGGCCTTCAAATTCTCTGTCTACTGCAGAGGACAACGACACGAGGGACGATGAGGGGCTGGTGCTGTCACAGTGCCTGGCAGCCCGCAGAGCCCGCAGCAGGGCAGGCAGTGCAGGGCAGCGGGAGCGGGCACTGTCAGGGCATGGCTGTGGCTGCGCTGTGTCCCCACAAGGGCTCGGTGCTGGCACATTCAGGCTGCTTGAGGGGAGCTGCAAAGAATTTTCTGAGCAGCATGGTGCCTGTGCTGCCTGGAGGAGACAAAGCGGTGAGGCCTGCAAGGTCTCAGTTGGAGGGAATGGGGTGAAACGAGGAAGCTCCCTGCTGCCCTGGCTGCTGCTCTCCCTCCATGCTCTGCTCTGCAGCCTGCCACAGACAGGCTCTGCAGCCCTGGACTCAAGCATCACAGGATCCAGTGTCTTCCAGGAATAAATCTCCCAGTAAAAGCACTTTCAGGACTTTTCCTTCCAGGTGCTGCTCAGCTCCTGCTGCAGGACTAGGTGGGGAAGGAACAGGATAAGCAACTCCTGTGGCAGGGTCTTTTCAATAAAAGCATCCTGGCTCAAAGGCAGCATCAGAGCTTCAGGTCTCTGTGTACGTCCACGCATGAACAAGTTCTTGAATGCGCGTATCCTAGCCCATAAGAGATCTGCTCCTGCATGCTGTGAAAGGGCTGGAGGTCTCTATGGTCACCTCGCACCCCCTGGCCCTCGAGGGAGAGCTGCTGCTGCAGGCTGGGCCCTGTGGTGCTGCTGGAGCAGCTGCAGGCTGTCCCACTGAGGGTGACATCATGGCTGCTTCTCTGCAGAGAGCAGACACATCCCAGCAGCAGGGCCGAGAAGGGCGACAGGGTCTGACCCCAACAGGCCGCTCCCTGCTCGGGTGAGGAGAGGGGTACCTGAGGAGCAACAGCACCATGGTAGTGGGATGCAGCTGCTGCTGGACTGTGACCTGGGCTGCAGGGAGCATGGCCACAGCTCCGGAGACACAAACGCCTTGTTTTGCCTGCTAGCTTTTTGTAAGGAGGTACATTAGAAAAACTAGGGCTCTCAGGGAAATACAAGAGTTTTAAGAATGTTCTAGTGCCCTGGAAAATGTTTAGAAGTTCTGTCTTGGAAAGTCATAGCAGACATGCCTGCTATCATGAGATTTTTTAGCCAGGCCAGAGGCACACACAAAGAATCACAAAGGGTCAGACTGTGTAGCAGAGGTGAGGAACTAGGGCAGGCACAAAAAACCATCAAAATGCAGAGGTTTTGACCAAATAAGAAAAGGAACACAATTCTGACATTAAATGTAAAATCAGGGTTTGTTGTTGAGGAAAAAGCTCTTTCCCTCTAAAAAACCCAAAAAACCCAACCCAACAAAAAAACCCCAAACCAAACCCCAACTCACCACTTCTTCTCAGACTATGGCTGTGCATGAGGGCAGGGAAGTGCAGAAAGGAGTGCTGGAAGCTGAGGGTCTGACAATGGCCTGCTCACCCTGACAAGTTATGTGTTGCTCTGTACTCCCAGGTGAGGGAGAAAGGCATGAAACCACATTCAATATGCAAAACCTCAAGTGAAAAAAACCATGCACAGCTCCTGAGTGGACCATGGCACCTCAGGCCTCCCCAGTGCCTATGGCACTTGCTGGGAGCCTGGCGCTGCCACCCCACCTGCAGCCAGCCAGCAGTGCCCAGCTGGGCTGAGCTCTCCGTGCCACCAGCCTGAGAGGGGCAGCTGTGCAGAGATATGACAGGAACCCAGCAGTGAGGGGCTTGGCCAGAACACAGCTCCAACCTGGCACTTGCCAAAGAAACTAGACATGCTGCAGCCTCCCCTGTGCCATCTGGGAAGGAAACCAAGCCTGTGGCTTGCCTCTGTAGAGCACAGCTGGGGTGCAGCAGGGCAGAGACACTTCAGAGCAGCTGGCACACAAGGGCTTGTGCCTGCCCTGACCTCAGTGTGGTCAGCATCAACTCCTGTCAGTGCAGGTGACATTCACAGGTGCTCAAGACACCAGGGCAGCACAGCCTGAACCTGCTCTTCCCAAGTCACAAAGGCACCCTGGGGCCTGGCAGCCCTCAGTACAAGGAGGAACTGCTCCCTCAGGGCTTGCAGCCAAGGAAGATGTGGGAGTTCCAGGCTCCATGAGCTTGGGGCACAGCAACCCTCACCACAGGCAGTGCAGGAGACACAGTGCCCTGCATGCTTATGCATGGTGCCTATCCAGCACTCAAACCCAAATGACAATAGTAAAAAACTCAGTTTATTTCTCTCTAAAGGCAGAGCAGCTTTCCTTTAAAAACCAGGTCATTTCACTTGTGAGAGGGTGTGGGGCTGAACTGCAGGGGAAAGGCCTTCATCACACACTGCTCCAGGCCAAGAGGTTTTGCTCCCTGAGGGTGTACACTGCCTGCATCAGGCAGGCTCAGTGCAGGGCAGCCTGCACAGCCTGGCAGTGAGCAGAGCCATGTGTACACTGCCTGCATCAGGCAGGCTCAGAGCATGCAGGGCAGCCTGTATGGCCTGGCAGTGAGCAGAGCGAGGAGCATGGGTCCCTGCCCCAGCTGGGAGCAGCTGCAGCTCCAGGCGGTTCATGCAGGCGGCACAGGACGAGGAGCAGGTGCTGCAGGCTGTGCACTCCACGGCAGCAGTGCCAGCAGCCCCCGTGCCAGCAGGGCGGTGCCAGGTGGCAGCAGGCACTGGCTGGCCCAGGTGCAGGCACAGGGTGAATCCTGAGTGGCTGGTCCGTTGTTGCAGAGGTTTGGCTTAGCCCAGGGGAGCACTCGGGCCAGCAGCAGTCCTGGTGCCGGTGCTGGGGGAGCCTCCAGCCCCTCCCAGCCCCGTCCAGCTGAGCGGGGGCGGCCCCAGGTGGCAGCACAGCAGCTGTGCCCGAGGAGAGCTCGATGGGGGCACAAGAGGTAGTATTCCTGAAAAGGGAGAGAAAGGAAGACATGCACCGTAAGGTGTACAGCTGGGAGCCCAGCACAGCCTGCAAAGGGAAGCAGATGTTCCCAGGCGAGCATCAGCCCCACCTTGCCTTACAGAGGACACGCTGGGGGATGAGCCAATGCAGCACTGAAAAACTTACCTGCTGGGCTGTGGAGTCCCCTCCCCAGCTCCTCCATGCTGCTTTGGAAGAGAACACAGCATCCATCATACCCCAAGCATGGCCTCCTGAGAGACACGGCATGCTCACGGCCCTGGCACGGCAGGAATGGCACAGCAGCAGCAGGCACTGGGGGTGCAGAAGGCCCTAAGCCCCCTTGCTACCAAACCCTCCTCCCAGGCCAGCCTGTCCCGAGATTGCAAAGCCATATCTCCTTCCCATCAGGAGCTCCATGTCCAAAGGGCTGGTGTTTCAATGGGCTACACATACAGCTCCAGCCTGTGCACACACTGGCTCCCGGGTGACACTGGCTCAAGCCAAGCTCACACAGGCCAGACCCAGCTGGGGGCCCACTGCATGTACATGGAGAACAGCCATGATGGAATGAGCCTCACAGGCCCACCACCCACACGTCTGCAGACCTGCAGGTTAATCCTCTGCTGCTGGACTGTTCCATCAGCTCCTCCCCAGCACAGCACACACACCATCAAGCTCAGCCCACAGCCCCATTCCATGCAGAAGTCAGCATGACCCAGCCTCAATCCAGGTCCAACCCCCAGGGAAATCAGTGAGTGAGAGAAGAGGGACAACTGAGTCCCCTATGAGAGGCATGCCTGGACAGGCTGGCCTCATCAAAAACTGGCAGAAACAGAGTAAGAAACATCTCTGGGTGCATCCTGGGGCACAGCATCTGTATCCCAAATCTCTGCTGCAAAAGCTGGACTGCATGGTCTGTTCCTCCACCACTCAACCCTCTGTTCACTCGAGCTCTCAGCGGATAGAAGCAGAAAAATACCAGGAAGTTTCCCCCTTGGTTCCATACAGCTCTCCTCCATGATCCCACCATACCCACGGCTCAAGCAGCTCCCCTTGCACGGGGCACAGAGAAGGAGACAAGAGAGGCTTCATCAGAGAGATCCCTGAATACAAGCAGCAGCTCACACCTACCCAGGCAAGGTTTCACAGACATTATCATCTTCCTCCTCCTCTTCCTCCTCCTGGCAAGCAAACAAACAAAAACCCACCATGACATCCCATTGCACGGGCAGGTCTCTGCCAGGAGTGAGGCTGGGCCCCTGCACAAGACAGTCACTACCAGGCACAGTACAAAGGTTTCCCACAAGCAGTGAGGGACAGACTGGAGTGCTGGGTTGCCAGAACCCTCTGGGCTCGGGCACACAAGGACAGACAGGCCACAGCTCATCCCACATCCCCTCCAGGTGCAAAGCCCCAAACACAAGGTATGAGCATGGACCATGCTGACAGAGCTGCTCATACAGTGCACCTCTGCCCAGGGACAGTGGTGGGTGGTGAGTGGGCACACCCTGCAGCTGGAGGGGCAGGCAGAGACCACCAGGAGCAGGCTGTGCACAGCTACAACCCCAAGCACTGCCAGGCTGGACTCACACTGGAAGCATGAGGCCAAGGACCAAGCATCCAGATGTTCCCAGACAGGGATGTAGTGAGACCAGTATGACAATGCTCCAAGTGCTGTGGCCATGCAGGAGGTGCAGTGCAGATGGGCTGGGCTGAGCCTTAGCCCAGGCTGGCAGGATGATGGTCCTCTCCTTCAGAGGCAGCTCTCACCCCAGCCATGACACCAAGTGTGCAGCCCAGGTGCCAGGTCCCTGTGTGACAGGGCCAGCAGAGCAGGGCTGAGGCTGCAGCAGTGCTGGGCCTGACAGCAGAGCTCCTGGAGCACAGACACCAACCAAGGAACTGCCCCTGTTTGAGCACAGTGCACCTCCTCACATCAGGCTGCCACAGGCGACAGGGGCTGTGCAGGTATCAGCAGGGCTCTGGGAGGAGCAGGGAGCTGCAGAGGGGTCACTCTGTCCCTGCCCTAATTGCAGACAGCCCTCAGCACGGGCCTGACTTGCACATACTGTACCCCAAAGTGGTGTGTGAAGGGAGCTCTCCCTGGGGGGGCCGGCTCACGGGCTCTGCCGGCCTCACTGCTCTCCAAGACACAGGAAGGGTGTAGGGGCTGATCCTGCCTAGAGCCTGGCACGGGGCAAAAGCAGCAGAGTTAGTGCCTGCAACCTGCAGAAAGCCCAGCTGGGAATGTACAGGCAGGACTGTGGGTGAGGAACAAGGAATCCCTGCTGTGCTGGCGAGCAAACAAAGGTGAGGGGTCACTGCTCAGGCCAGGTACCAGCAGCCCTGAGCTGGGCTACAGCTCAGGCCATGCACAGCAGCTCAGCATAGAGAGCAGCTACACCTTCCAGCCCAGCTGAAGATGGGGAAACGGCAGAGGACACCACCATAGGAACAACATTCTCCCTGCCTGGTTTCACCAGAGAGACACTGATTCCACAGCTATGCAGTGACATACATCTGAGAAATTCCTCCTACCTGCATGTGTTGCTTCCCAGAGATCCAGTGCCATCTGAAAGGCCTGGGCCACAGTCAGAGTCACAGCCTGGGCCTATGTACATGAAAGAGAGGGAATGCCTGCTTCCACCTGGGCCCTCAATGCAAGATAACATTCAGATGGAAGGCCAGAGCTCAGTTCTCTGTCTGTCTGCCCCTGGGGGCCAGCACCTCCAAGAGCAGACCCTCAGGAGCCGGGACAGGAAAGCCCCTTTGCTCAGTGCCTGCCTGTGCAGCACATGGGTACACCTGATCCCTGCCTCCAAACCCAGCTGAGGCTCTCCCCTTCTCTCGCTGAGGGGAAGAAAGCAGGACGTTGCTCCCACCCACACCTCATGGAGCCAAGAGCAGAAGGTAAGTGCTTACAATCTTCTTCTTGGGTGAGAGGAAGGCATGGCACTCCAGTGCCCCGCTCTCCTGGCTCTGGGCAACATAAGCAAAGACTTTGTTCTGCAGCTTGTCTGTTGTGCAGTAGGAGATCCTGTGGGCAGAGAGGAGCTGTGAGGACAATCCAGGACGTTGGCATGGCACTTCTGCTGCACTCCCAGGACATCAGCAAGCACTGCTGACAACCTGAGGCTTTCACCTGCCCAAGCTGACCAGGCAGGCCAAGCCCCCAGCAAGGGCCAGAGGCTGCCTGGTGCCTGCAGCAGGTAAGAGATCACTGCATCCACAGGCACTCCCTCTGTGCTATCCCCGAGTGCCCTGCAGTTTTCTGAAGCACACTCCACGCAGTGTGTGAATTCAGGCACTGGGACAAGAGGAGCACAGAAGGGTGGGCCATTGCCTCCCAGGACACAGCTGAGGGCCAGGCAGAGACATGTCCTGTCTCTGCTCCCCATTTGGCCACCAGACTGCACACTTGCTGCCCCTCACACCCAGCACCCACAGACACCCAACCCAGCCAAAGGACGAGCGGCAGCAGGAGAAATCAACATCAGTTCTCACAGCAATTGCCTTTAGCCTGTCTAATAAGCTGCAGCCAGAAGGATGGAACCATGGCAGTGGAGGCAGACATGCAGTCCTGTCCTAACTGTGGGGCCTTCCAATCACAAGCCTCAAAATCCTGCTGAATGCCAGAATAGAGAGGCAGGGCACAGGGAGATGGTGGATGGGGTGATGAACTCAAGAGCACCCAGGGCCCTGCCTACACTCAGCCTCAGGCAGTGCTGGGAGCACAGCACAGAGAGGGCACAGGCCTCAGGGACCAAGGAAAGACCTAAGCTTGAAGGTACTGCTGACACAAGGCCCAGCCCTCCCCGGCTTCTCAAATTCCCATCAGTCTTCAGCTGGCTGCTGGGGAACACCCAGCCCATACCCGTGACATGCCCACCTGTAGATGGAGATGTTCTCCACCATCTCCTTAGTGTCTGCATCCTGCAGTGAGATGCCCCTTGGAGACACAGTCAGAATCACCTTCTGAAACTTGCGAGCTCCAACCCGTGCCTGGCAGTGGAAAAACACCAGCAATCTCTGCAAACCTGGCAAGGGTCTTCACCCACAGACTCTGCACAGTATCACTCACTTGGATACTCGCTGCAAAGGCTCCTGCTGTAGGATGGGACAGCAGAGCCTGGCAATGAGGCATGCCCTGCACAGAACACTCTTCAAACCTGTTTACCCTACTGCCACACACACAGGGAGGGACAGACCCCATTCCTCCCAGTACCTCACCCTTCTGTCTGTGCCGTGGCAGGCACAGCTCTGCTCCCAGCCAGGCCCAGGTGTGGGAGCAGGTGGCTGGGGCTGTCCTGCAGGAGGACAGCTTCCCCACAGCAAACAGGCAGACACCAGCAGCCTCCTGCATGCCACCCTCCTCTTGGGAAGGGCACAGCCCCTCACTGGAGCTCAGGGCTAGGTCACAGACACTTCCCTGTGCAGGGGCTGGGCCCTGACCCCACACACCAGGGCCCCAGGGTCTCACCGTGGCCACGATCCTGCGGATGGCAGCAGCAGCCATGTCTTCTCCTTTTGGTTTTTCTACCAGCGTCATGCCCAGATACTTGAGGGTGAAGCACATTCCCTCAAGCAGGGGCTCCTGCATATCAGCCCAGCTCTCAGGAAGCTCTGCAAAGACAAAAGCGCTCAGAAGCCATGTGCCAGCAGCCCCACAGCCACCCCACCCATGGATCCAGCAGCAGTGTTGCTTTCTGCCCCCAGCGGGATCACTCCTGGCTCTGTGACACTCTTATAAGGGGAACAGAAGGAGTGGGCAGTTCACCCTTGAAGCTTTAGTCCTCTAGCCCTGGAAGTCCAGGCTCTGTCAGCACTGACAGACAGTTCCTGCATATCTGCACAGGGCTGAGGATGCTGCAGCCCTCACTGCTGTGTGCAAAAACCTTGCATTCCTGGGTCTCACCTGCTTCATTACAAACAAAATGTTCTCTGTAGTGCATTCATCTCAGCCACCTGAGTTGCTGGCACACCTGAAGAGCAGCAGCATTCACTGCCACGCTCAGATCAAAATCCCCAGGCTGGCCCAGTGTAAGCAAAGCCAAACCCCTTGGCATCTCACCTGCAGCAGCAGGGTGCCAGGGCAGGGGCAGCTCAGTCAGCACTTGTGGTCCCAGCTGGGATGACTGGGGAGCAACTGCATCACAGATGCTTTGTTAAGAAAGAGATGGGAATTGCCAAAGCATGTACAGTTCACACTAAGCTAATACTTTTCAGGGTTATTTTCACCTCTTCCCTGGGATTTGTTCCCTGAGAATTACTGGCACACTTGCAGAAGGGTCCAACTCATAATTGGAATAATCTGAACCCACAGGGAAATCAAGAGACCTTATTTGCACAGCATACTCTTCCGCAAGTGACAACTATCAAGGAAGCTGCCTGGTGCCATGCAGGCACCAGTGACCTCCACCCTGGGCAGTAGGACCCTGTGCCACTCCAAACTCTGAGGACAGTCCATGTATACCAGGCCTGCCAGGGCAAGTGCTGGTGCTCCACCAAAGCCTTGGGCAGCTGCTGAGAACAGCCAAACACAGCCCTGCTGTGCCACAGGGTACCTGCAGGGTCACAGGATTATGGAATCATGGAACGGTTTGGGTGGGAAAGGACCTTAAAGCTCATCCAGTTTCACTCCCGCAGGCAGGACACCTTCCACTAGACCAGCTTGCTCCAAGTCCCGTCCAACCTAGCCTTGAATGCTTCCAGGCATGTGTCATGGGTCGGTCTCGGATCTTGCCAGGCCGCGGAGAGCAGGGGCTGGCCTGGCACGCTGGCAGAGAGCCAGGCGTGGCACACAGGCACAGAGCCAGGCGTGGCAGCCCGAGGGGCCCGAGGAGCTCCCCGGTGCAGTGCAGCGTGTTCCAGCGCCTGGCACGGCCGCCCAGGCCCGTCAGCCCCCGGCGCGGGCGGCCTCGATTCACAAGTGGGGCAGGAGGCGCCAGCGCGGGGAGCGGGGCAGGGAGAGCTCGGCCAGGAGCGGCAGCGCTCGGTGCCCGGCCGGCAGCGCTCCGGCCCCTGCGGCCGGATCCCCGCTCCCCTAACCCGACTACCCCGACTGCCCCTACGGCCGCTCCGCCCCCCAGCCCTCCCGGCCCCTCGCACTGCCCGGCCGCAGGCAGGGGCCGCATTCCGAGCCCGACCGCGCCGAGCTGCGGGCTCCCCGCCCGGAGCGATGCCCGGCCCCGCACCCGCACCCGCACCCGTCCGCACTCACTGCGCCGCCGGCGGAGACCCAGACCGTGCCGAGCGAGGCGCGGGCTCCGCAGCACGGCGCGCCCCGCCGCCCGCAGCGCCTCCATGGCAGAGCCGGGATCGAGCCGAGCCGAGCCGATCCCTGCCGGTGCGCGGGGGGCCGGTCCCGCGGGCTCGAGCCAAGCCGAGCCGAGCCGATCCCTGCCGGTGCGCGGGGAGCCGGTCCCGCGGGCTCGAGCCGAGCCGAGCCGATCCCTGCCGGTGCGCGGGGGGCCAGTCCCGCGGGCTCGAGCCGAGCCGAGCCGAGCCGAGCCGATCCCTGCCGGTGCGCGGGGAGCCGGTCCCGCGGGCTCGAGCCGAGCCGAGCCGATCCCTGCCGGTGCGCGGGGGGCCGGTCCCGCGGGCTCGAGCCGAGCCGAGCCGAGCCGAGCCGATCCCTGCCGGTGCGCGGGGGGCCGGTCCCGCGGGCTCGACGCGCTCGCGTCAGCGCGGCGGAGGCGGCGGGGTTGCCACGGCAGCGGGGGCGGGGCGAGGCGGGCTCCGCGGCGGCGGCGGAGCGGGCCCGTGGGACGCTGTGGGACCGGCCCGGGCCCGGGCCCGGCGGAGGGCGCGATGCAGCTGCGGCACGTGCGGACCCTGCTGGCCCCGCAGGTCGGACCGGGCCGGGCTGGGGGGGATCGAGCCGCGGGGGAGCGGGCCGGGCCAGGTCGGGTCGGGGAGAGCGGCCCTGGCCGCCCTGGGGCGCGTAGCGGCGACGCTGAGGCTGTAGTGTGCCCGCTGAGCCGTGTGTGCCCGCTGGGGCTCGGTGTGTGCCCGCTGGGGCTCGGTGTGTGCCCACCGAGCCGTGTGTGCCCGCTAAACCCTATGTGTGCCCGCTGAGCCGTGTGTGCCCGCTGAGCCGTGTGTGTCCGCTGGGCTCATTGTGTGCCCGCTGAGCTGTGTGTGCCCGCTGAGCCGTGTGTGCCCGCTGGGGCTCGCTGAGTGCCCGCTAAGCTGTCTCGTGTGTGCCCGCTGAGCCGTGTGTGCCCGCTAAGCCATCCTATGTGTGCCCTTTGAGCCGTGTGTGCCCGCTAAGCCATCCTGTGTGTGCCCGCTGAGCCGTGTGTGCCCGCAGGACGGGACGGCGCGGGTGACCTGCATGGCCTGGTCCGCCAGCAGTGCCCGCTTCGCTGTGTGCACTGCGGAGCGCGTGGTGCTGCTCTACGACGAGCAGGGCGAGCGGCGCGACAAGTTCTCCACCAAGCCGGCGGACGCCAAGGTGAGCGGGGCCGGGCCGGGCTGGGCATGGGCCGGGCATGGGCCGGGCAGCGCTGGGGCAGGCAGGGGCGGCCTCCCCACGGTCACACCGAGCCTCTCCGCAGTACGGCAGAAAGAGCTACGTGGTCAAAGGCATGGCCTTCTCCCCGGACTCCACTAAACTGGCCATCGGGCAGACGGACAACGTTGTCTACGTGTACAGGATCGGCGAGGAGTGGTGAGTATGCAGCGGGGTCCAGCATGCTCCGTTCTTAGCCTGATCCTCACCCTGGCACATGCTGCAGTGCCCATCACCCGGCCCCAGGGAGCCACACAGGTGTCCGTGGGGAGCAGCAGGTGAGGTGTCCTCGGCAGGGCCCTTATCGAGCTCGGGCTGTGCATGCAGCTAGCTGGAGCCTGTGTTGCCATCATGTGTCACAGCTGTGCAGCGATGGCACACATCTGGCCCACTGCAGCCTCATCTGCTGGCAGGAGTTGTGCTAACGGTACTCAGAAGGGCAGTTCATCAGGAGTTTGGAGGCTCAGACTCTAGGGATCTTTTTGGTTTTTTGCCTAAAGTTGTGATAGACTAGCAGCCCACAAGATTTCAATGGACTGTGTTTGGCAATGTCAAACCAGACTGCGTATAAAGAGTAGGGTGATCAGAATGTTTAGGGTTGCTGATAGTAATTTTTGTTTCTGTTTTTCTGTAGGGGTGACAAGAAGGTGATATGCAACAAGTTCATCCAAACGGTGAGACCCAGACTTCTGTTTGACTTCATTTTCTCCAGCATGTGTAGCAAAAGACAATGAGAGGTCTCTCTGCTCATACTCACAGGTGTACTTGGCCAAACTGTACTTGACCTTTAAAGGATCTCTAAATTCTGAGGCACATATTGCTCATCAAGCTCCAGAGGTGTCCTAATGCCTGGGTACAATGGACTAAATTGTTGAACAATCAATGCAGTCAGTTACAACACTTTGGGGACTACTTTAGGCATCAATCGACAGACTGTTTTAAGGGAGTTGAAAGGGAAAGATATGCGACACTCAGAGCCCAACTATTTTTCCCAGGTTTGCAGTTCTAAACTCCAGGATGCCTTATTAAGCAAAATGTAAAGTGTGCAGAATTCAAACTGTGCAATTTCCACATGCTCAATTGCCTCAGGTTTATGATTTCTGTCTGGTTTGCTCCTTGGCCACCTCTGTGTTGTGCTGCTCTGGCCTGGCCTGCCTGTGTCACAGAGCAGCCTGCCCAGTAGGTGTTTGCCAGGGCTTGCCCTGAGATCTGGCTGGAAAAGGCAAAGGTGTTATGAATTCCTTGCACAGAAAGCCATCAGAGTGAGAAAATACAGTGCACTGACTGCTTCTACCTTCAGAGGCAAAAGTCCAGCAGCTGCCCCAGGCTTTCCAGGCAAGTGCCATCACCACATAGTCTCTATGTCACCAAGAAAGTTCTCTGCAGGGTAGAAGGAATCATCCTTCATGTCCAAATCCCCAGAAGACATAGAGCTGCTCCAGGTGGAGTTGCTGGAGTCTGTGCCAGGCTTTCTCAAGCTGTCTCTCAGGTGAAGGGTGGCCTCAGCCTCTGGGTGGAAAGCTTTCATCTCAGGGTTGGGTCATGGCCTGCCACCGTGGCTGCTCTGGCTGCTGCAGGGAGCCTGGGGAGTTCTCTGTCTGTGGCAGGAAAGCTGCTTGCTGCTCAGCCTCTGTTTTGTCTGCAGTTGAGCTGCTGCACCGAGTGGTCATGAGAATAGTGTCATGAGGAAAAGACAGCAACAGGGCCTTGGTGTCCATTTGTCCCTTTGCTGAGCAGGGTGGCCATCCCAGGTGTGGGCACATTTGGCCTCCCCGCAGAGCTCTTTCCTTGTGTGCTGCTTGCTGCCTGCCCCTCCAGCTGCCAGTCCAGGGGGGTCTGCTCACCTCTCACAAGCTCAGATGCTGTGCAGGGCACATGTACAGGATTTTGTATTCTAAATGTAGAAATTCAGTATTTTTTTCTGTCATTTCTCATTTACTCATGCCTTTTCTATCATTTGTAACACATTAAATCCTTTATTTTTTTTCTGATGCTGTTTGTCTGGGGGTTTGCCACCGTGTTTGGCTTTCTCCTGTAACTAAATACTGTTATTTACAAATTTTTGAAATGTTCAGTCAATATGGGAGGTCATTTATTGAGCCCTTTCCCTCTCCTGCCTCTGGGCCCTCTCACACACAGTGATCCCAGGGGGTGCTCACACTGGCAAGCCAAGCCTCCTGCAGAGGGCCAGGAGGACAAACAACGAGCACATCACCACTGTGTGAGGCTGGTTCCCAAGCTTCTCTTGTGTTAGAGTGGAAAATAAGCCTGACAGATAATGGGGGAAACACACAAATTCCTGGGAAACAGTGGTAATGAAAATGGGTCTTGGTCATTTAAATTGTGAACAGTTTGGTTACCTTGAGACATTTTGTTGTCTGATTGTAGCTGTGTTTGCTGATGTGAATGATCACAGCAGGGATGGAAGATGAGATAAATAAATGAGGAATGAGTAAATGCTGATATGTATCTTAAGCAGTCTCACATGCTTAAAATGGGACAGAGAGCCAGTGAGGCTGGTGCTGGTGGCAAACACCATCCTTCTTACTGACTGAAGTTCTGCAGGGTAGATGTGAAGGGCTTTCCTAAACTTTCTTGGCCCTCTTACAGCTGGGTTTTGTGGTCAGCTTTGTTCATTCTGACTCCACCTCAGATTTTGAGAATACCTTTGGTTTGGATTTAATGAGCCTGTTTCTACCTGGCCTGCTTGGAGCATCTAATCACCATCTTACTCGTCAATGAAAAAACAAACACTGTTTCTTATTCATCAAATAAAGATCCAATGGACAAGTGTTCTCATAGCTATTACAGAAGTTGTCACAGTGAAATTATTTTTATATTTTATACTTGTTGCGAAAAACCTTTTAAAACATCCATGATTTTATACATTCACCGATAGCATGTGGCAAGCCAAGCACTGCTCAGTAAGTAGTGCTCACAAAAGAGCTCCAAACTGAGCACATCCCTGTAACATTTTTGCCCTCCCATAGTCCTCCTGTACTCAGTTACTTTGTCCCAGCTCTCTTTTATCTAGTTTGAGCTTCAGCATGAAGTGAGATTTGTCCAGTATCTTCAGCTAGTGTAAGGCCTGTCCACATGCCCCATCTGTCCTGCCTGAACAGTGTCTGTTCATGAACTGTTTTAGGTGGCAGTGGGGCAGGGAGCTGGGTAGGGTGGAGCTCTCACCTCTCTTTTCACCTCCTCCTTTGCAGAGTGCTGTGACCTGCTTATTGTGGCCGGCAGAGAATATCATTGTCTTTGGTCTTGCTGAAGGAAAGGTAGAGAAACTTGTTGTTTGAGTGACTTTCTTTCCCTTGCGGGGGCTGTCAGGGTCTGCCAGTGGCTGGGCTGGGGGGTAGGAGCCATCCCTGGGTGCCCCAGTAACAGCAGCAGAGGGATTACACTGTGGACTTGAATTTTCTGGGTCACATTTAGTCCCTGGAGGTTCTACTGGATCTCTTGGATCCAAACTTTTCTAGAAATGTAGAAATGTGATTCCAGCTATTCCTCTTCTATAACATACTGGGAGTCAGTGAGCTTCCTGTGATTTCTTTCCCTGATAGTGAACAAGGAAACCTCTGGGAACATCACTTACACTGGGGGAGATCCACATTCTACCGATGGCAGCAACACTGCTCATTTTCTCTTTCTCAGGTTCGTTTAGCAAATACAAAGAACAACAAGTCTTCCACCATCTATGGGACAGATTCCTACGTGGTCTCACTAACTTCCAAGTGAGTGTGGCATTGCTTTGGCCTGCCCTGCTTTGGCTCAGTCTCACCCCTGCTGCTG